CTTTCTCAGTGTACTTCAAGAACAGTTTCCCCATTTAAAAATCTCTGTTTTCTGCATTATTCGCTTGCTTATTACGCACAAGTCTACCGTTATGTACAGCGCTGTCCGCCGCTGTGTTTTTGTTTTTAATTTAACTGACTTCCCACAAGAAAGTCTCAGTTCTGCTGTTCAGTACTGAGGAAATTTAAACTTTTTAAAATTATGCGAAATTGCAGAATGCTTAGCTGTGTCTCTAATCAAACCTCTGTAACTTTGCTCTGCTTCACTTCAGCAGCATAATGTTTATATGTTGATTCGTGGTTTTCTTCAGTTTTTGTTCTACTGCAGAATATTTTTAAGGTTATCTGCTATAAAACGACCAGGCCAGGAAAATCTCCTTCATGTTTTTCTGTGTTTTATGCTCTGTTACTTTGACTCTTTAGCACTTAGCAATTTTCTATCCTACCTGAGCACTTCAAGCGTTGTCCAGGAGGAGTTTTGAGGCTACAGTTTAGAAAAGATCACTAACTGTCATGAGTGTTAATATTATTTTATTACTTAGTCTGTTAAAGGAAACCCTGAAACATTAAAATAGTTGAGAACCTTTCCAGTGGTGTCCAGTCTGACTAACATCTCTAAGAAGGAAAACGCAATGCCTCCCCTTCATTCAGATGTCTTATTTTTGTGTTCCCTTTATTTTTTGAGCAGTGTATATGGGACTTTCTCATCATGTGCAGTCTAACTTTTAACATTTCCAAGAACGAAAATGTAATGCCTCCCCGTCGGGGAATCGAACCCCGGTCTCCCGCGTGACAGGCGGGGATACTCACCACTATACTAACGAGGAAGGTGCACAATATTCTTCATGTTGCAGTATCGATCCTGGCCACAATAATATCCACTATGGGATAGTGTCGCTATTTCCCCGTTTTGATACGTTAAGTTGTGCACGGCTGTTTATGTGTATCAAACGTGTAAACAGCGGGCAGAGAGACTAGAATGACTAGATACCTCAACGTAGAGTTCTCTACCATCAACGAAAAAAGCAAAAAGAACAAACAAAAAACCCCAAAATCAGAAATCGTCGGATTGTAATGATATTGATATGATAGTGGTTAAAAGAGTCATTGAGGGCATTATAAAACCGTTTACACACATCTGTAATTTATCATTTCAAACTGGTCTATTTCCAGACAGAAATTATAATGGTAATAATAATAATAAAATAGTGGCCACAATAATGTCCACTATACGTTTTAAGTTGTGCACGCGTGTTTCTGTGTATCGAATTTAACGTGTAAATAACAGCGGGCAAAGAGACTACAATGAGTAGACGCCTCAACGTAAAAACAAACCCTCCAAAACAAACATAATTGACGTATAATAGATAAACTCTCAACAGCGCCAGAATATTAAAGTTTAGAGTTTAGAAAAGATCAGTAACTGTCATGAGTGTTAATATTGTTTTACTCCTTAGCGTCTTAAAGGAACCCCTGAAACATCAAAATAGTTGACGACCTATGGTGTGCAGTGTAATTTTTACCATTTCCAAGAGTGAAAAGGAAATGTCTCCCCGTCGGGGAATCGAACCCCGGTCTCCCGCGTGACAGGCGGGGATACTCACCACTATACTAACGAGGAAGGTGCTCAGCGAATTTCATGTTGCAGTACCGATCCTGGCCACAATGATGTCCACTATGGGATAGTGTCGCTGTTTCCCCGTTTCGATACCTTAAGTTGTGCACGGCTGTTTATGTGTATCAAACGTGTAAACAGCGGGCAAAGAGACTAGAATGACTAGATACCTCAACATAGAGTTCTCTACCATCAACGAAAAAGCAAATAAAACAAACAAAAAACCTCAAAATCAGAAATCGTTGGAGTGTAATGATATTGATATGATAAGTGGTTAAAAGAGTCATTGAGGGCATTATAAAACCGTTTACACTCATCTGTAATTCATCATTTCAAACTGGTCCATTTCCAGACAGAAATAATAATGGTAATAGTAATAATAAAATAGTGGCCACAATAATGTCCACTATACGTTTCAAGTTGTGCACGCGTGTTTCTGTGTATCGAATTTTAACGTGTAAATAACAGCGGGCAAAGAGACTACAATGAGTAGACGCCTCAACGTAAAAACAAACCCTCCAAAACAAACATAATTGACGTATAATAGATAAACTCTCAACAGCGCCAGAATATTAAAGTTTAGAGTTTAGAAAAGATCAGTAACTGTCATGAGTGTTAATATTGTTTTACTCCTTAGCGTCTTAAAGGAACCCCTGAAACATCAAAATAGTTGACGACCTATGGTGTGCAGTGTAATTTTTACCATTTCCAAGAGTGAAAAGGAAATGTGATTTGTGTGATTTTGTTGTCAGTACATTCAACTGTATAAAGAACATAGTATTTAATAAGAATATTTCATTCATTCAGATCTAGGATGTCTTATAATAATAATAATACATTTTATTTGATGGTGCCTTTCTGTATATGGGGCGTTCCCATCATGTGCAGTCTAACTTTTAACATTTCCAAGAACGAAAATGCAATGCCTCCCCGTCGGGGAATCGAACCCCGGTCTCCCGCGTGACAGGCGGGGATACTCACCACTATACTAACGAGGACTGCTACTAATGGACGTGACGCTGTTCTTTTTCTTACTGCATCACGTACACTTTAGGACATATTCGCTTGAATTGTTTACTTAACACTAGATTTACTAAACGGCCCTCAACTGTTTCATATTCATTCTCTATGGGAGTCCTAAACCACTACGGATGCAATATATTTTTGTCCACTATGGTCTTGTGGCGCTGTTATATAAATGTATAGTGATGACTCTCCCCGTTTGTCACGCGGGACATCGGGGTTCGAATCCCCGACGAGGACGCATCACTCCTTGACCTTCAGGAAATGCCTTTAGCTACATGTGAAAGGAGTTTTTGTGATATGTGCCTTGCTGGTAGTAACAGTGTGTTGAGGAGTCATTTCACCCCTTGTCCCATACCATTCAAGATTAGCCGAAGTTAATACCATCATCAACACTATGAGAACCTCTTTCTCCCTCACTCCCATGGACTTCATCCATATCTCATAATCTCAATTCCTTTTTTTCCCATGAAAGCTAGTTTGCTGAGTGAGCAGTAAAAGCACTCCCAGCAGAAAAAAAAAACAAGCCATGTCTTTGTTTTACTGTAAAAAAAAAAAGAAAGAAAAAAAAGTCCTGAATGGTTGCTTAAAGGTCATTACAAATCCTGTGTGGTTCATGTGGTTTTTCCATTTCAGTTCCTTTTCTCTCATTTGTTTGACAGACTTGGACTCTAGTTGCGCTCCAAGTTTAATTTGACATCGTGTTTACACAAAGAAACCTTGGTCTTCTATGAATCAGAAATACTCCACTTATCATTACAGAAAAAACGTTCATAAAATGAAAATAGTACATATAACACGTATGTGTATATAGTCATGTCATGTTAAGATTTGTATTTGTTTCCAGTTTCCCACATTGTTTTTGTCCACCCCACCCTAATTATTTCCACCTTACCAAGTACACCTTTAGTGCTTCCATAGCAATTAAGAGAGTAAATGAGAGGTTCAAGTTAAAAAATTTAACTCTTTAGGGCTTTCATTTGTACTTTGTGATTGTTTCATAACTATTTAAATATAGTTTCCGAGTTTAACCTTAGATTTCGTATTTCATATTGCTCCTTTTTAAAGCAGCAAAAAATGTTCATAAAAGCCCCATTCTTGCACATAAGTATGATTGGTTTGTATATAATTACGGCTAAGGTCTCCTTCCTTTACATAACAGAATTTAAAGCGATATTCTGTTGTTTATGCCCGTTCAAGGAAAATAAATAATTTGCCTAATAATTCTATAATAATAAATAATTTGCGGACGACACTACAGTGGTGGGTCTTATCACCAACGGTGATGAGACGGCTTACAGGGAGGAGGTCAGCGCCCTGACCCACTGGTGTCAAGACAACCATCTCACCCTCAACGTCGCAAAGACAAAGGAGTTGATAGTGGACTTCCGGAGGTGCAGAGAAGTACACACCCCCATCACCATCAACGGCGCTGCTGTGGAGAGAGTGAGCAGCTTCCGGTTCCTTGGAGTACATCTGGCTGAGGATCTTACGTGGTCAGTACACACAAACAAAACAGTGAAAAAGGCGCAGCAGCGCCTCTTCTTTCTCAGGAGACTGAAAAGATTCGGCATGAGCCCCCGCATCCTCAGGACCTTCTATCACTGTGCCATTGAGAGCATCCTCACTGGATGCATCACCACCTGGTATGGCAACAGCACCGCCTACAACTGCAAAGCTCTCCAGAGAGTAGTGCGGTGCTCTGAACGGATAATTGGAGGTGAGCTTCCCTCCCTCCAAGACATCTACAGGAAGCGCTGCCTGAGGAAAGCGGGGAGGATCATCAAGGACTCCAGTCACCCCAGCCATAAACTGTTCAGACTGCTTCCATCAGGAAGGAGGTTCTGCAGCATCCGGTCCCGTACCAGCAGACTGAGAGACAGCTTTTTCCACCAGGCCATCAGACTGCTGAACACGTCATAGACACCTCAGCTTCACTACTGGAACTTTAACATTATGCACTCCATACTGTATATAAATGCCACTTGTTTTGCACATATTCAACTCTGTATATTTTATATATTTTATTATTATTTTTATTATTATTATTATTTTATTTTTTTTACTATTTAATTTGTAAAAATGTGTATACACACACACACACACACACACACACACACGTAGGAAAATATTTAGTATACACATCCAGAAATGCATACACTATTATATATTGTACATATATTTATTAGTTTCAGGTTGGCCATTCTTGTGTTTTGCTCGTTTGTGTTGTTGTGTTTGCACATCTCTGTTGCTTGTGGGGCTCGCACACAAGAATTTCACTCGCATGTGCTGTGCCAGTGTGCCTGCACATGTGATGTGACAATAAAAGTGATTTGATTTGATTTTTGATTTGATAATTCTGCATGCTGAATTCGCTTTTATTTTGAAAAGCCGTGACACGGCGGAAGTAAACAGTAATCACGTTACAACCCGGAAGAAATGCCTTTTCTCTGGTTAACATTTGAATAGATGAGAATGACCAATTTAGCTTTTGGAGAAACGGTTAAACGCGATGCTGCTCCTGTTGTGCAGCCTCTCATAGTCGTTTTTGTGTCCTAATCTCTTGGCCTGGAGGTGGAGGCGGTCGACTACGAGCAGCAACGCCCCGATGAGAGCAGGCAGCCCGTCAGAAGGAGAAAAATATCCTCGGTGTGTTTACCAGGCGGTTCAGGGAGGCTGTTTCCCCGCAGTGTGTCGTTAGCTCACCGTGCGGCTGTGCGACTGGTTCTTCAGACGGAGAGGAAACATGGCTGAGCTGCATGTTGTGGAACCTACCGGTGCTGGCACCATAGAGCAGCCCGAGCACCGCGACATCCGGGGCTCGGTGCGCCTGGCGTCGCCCACCCTCATTGTTCCGCCGCGGAGCAGCCAGCTCAGCCCGGGTGGGGTGTCAGGCTGTAGCGGCGGCGGCGGAAGGTCGGTGTTTGGGTTCCCGGTGAAGAGCAATCCCAGCTCCCCGTCCGAGCCAGTGGACAAGCCGGGCTCCCGCTGGGTCCGGCTTAACGTCGGTGGTACCTACTTCATTACCACCAAACAGACGCTGTGCAGGGACCCCAAATCTTTCCTGTTCCGCCTGTGTCAGGAAGACCCGGACCTGGACTCTGACAAGGTGAGTGGGACGCCAGAAAAACACAAATACATACAACACAGGTTCACACAGCAAAGGGACGCAAAGAACACAAAAACCGTGAACACTAAACTGTAAAAGCACAAATTAAAAAGTGAAAAATCAATTTCCACAGTAGTACCCATCTGCCCTGTACAAAATGTTTATAGACTACTGCAGGTAAAAGCACAAGGACGATACGCTTCAGTTTTAAAAATTTAAATTTTCTAAATTAGTCCCACATTTGCGAGAAAAAATTACACGAAAAATGGCAAATTTTACATTAACGAACTTCAACGTTAAAGAAAAAAAATATGGAAATTTAATAGAAATAAACAAAACAAAACATGGAACTTGCTCCTCTGTTAACATGGAACTTGCTCCTTGGAACCTGTTAATTCTTGCAGGACGAGACAGGAGCATATCTAATCGACAGAGACCCCACGTACTTTGGCCCTATCCTGAATTACCTTCGGCATGGAAAACTGATTATGGATAAGAATCTGGCAGAAGAAGGTAAAAAGCAAAAGCATAATGCAGAGCTGTCAGTGAGCAGCATCTCAGACACCAAATAACACATTCATTCGATTTGTGTTTCAGGCGTTCTGGAGGAAGCCGAGTTCTACAACATTGCTTCCCTGGTGAGGCTGGTGAAAGAGAGGATACGGGACAACGAGAACCGGACATCTCAGGTAAACAAAACGAAACCAAAATAAGTCTTAGTGGCTGACTTTCTTCCAGTGCAAATATAACCCAGGTAACTTGTAAAGTGTTCAAACAAAATGTGTGCCTGCCTGCAGATTGTTGATGCTTTTTCAGTAATGCTCTGCGTGCCTTTGCTGTGTCCCTCAGGGCCCTGTGAAGCATGTGTATCGAGTACTACAGTGCCAAGAGGAGGAACTCACGCAGATGGTCTCAACTATGTCGGACGGTTGGAAGTTTGAGCAGGTGCAGAAAATGCAGCTTTTAAAATATATGTCATCTTTTAGTTCATGCTTTAGTTGATTCGACGCTGCAGTTTTAAGCTCCGCTTGCCCTGAGATGTATGCCAGCACATTGTCAGGTATTTATTTCCACACAGGAAAGACTGGGGCACAAAATGTTTTAATCATGAGCAGGAATGGATACTAAAAGTACTTCATTTGGTCTTGACCTGAATCTGTATGCATTCAGACTCTGTCACCTTGTAGTTTCCTCTATATTAGTAATCATGTATTATCAATATGAACCTGTATCAATTTTTTGATCTTCAAAAGACAAAAAAAAAAAAAAAAGATCTTTGAGCCTTATAATGAAAGTAAGTATGAATTAAACCCCTGACATTAGTAATAGCTGTAAATAATTCTAGTCATTGCCACATGTGACTACTCCGCAAAGGTCTGATTATGACTATTTGGTACTTTTAACTTTAATAGAAAATACCACATTTGTTGCATTTATTAAATTTAAAGAGCTAAAATAACACAACTCATTTGCCTTTTTTAAATTACCAACAAACATGACAGAACTAGTAGCACTTTTAGGCCTACTGTGAAGCAGTTGCTATGAAGCTCTGCAGGAAACTTTGAGCTCTATCCATGTTTGTGAAAAATAACCTGAAGGCCTCAGTCACACTCGTCTAGAGACCGATTGGCAAACCCTTGGCATCCTCCAGTTGCTAGGGGCAAATGTTTAATCTTCAACCACCCTCAAGCACCGGCATGTCACAGTTGGTGCTCAACAAAGCCAATGTGGTCACCATAAACAAAGCATAAGCCAGCGGCTTTGGCTGTAAAGGCACACCTGCTTGTCCACAGACTGCTGATTTGTTTTGTTTTTGAGTTTCCCCAGTGATTTTAACATCTTTGGAAACCGTAGCCAGGGTAAGTTAAATAAATAAAAAGTTAAAATTCCAAAATGATATCCATCAAGTCTTTTGTCAAAGCGAGAGTGAGTCACAGGAGCTGAGTTGCAGGGTGGCCATCCTTGCTGTAGGGCAAAGAAAGAGGTCATGAACAGACTACAGAAATGCAGTGATATATGTGCTGAAATATCGCTGTAAGTCTATATTGGCAAATAAAATGTCATTTATTAATTGTATCTAATCCCTTTTTTCAGGCTGAGTATTCAAAATAGGAAAACTTAAAATCATTCAGTTGTTTTTTTGTTTTGTTTTTTTATATAATGAATATTTCTTTGTTTGATTAGGGGTTGTTGTTTTTTTTTTATGTTGTTGTTGTTTTTCTGACATTTTCAACAGTTTCTCTAAAACGACAACAACCAAAAGTAAATAGCATGGTAGAACTAAATTAAATGGAAAAAACACAAGTTATTGACTGAAAAGGTGCAGAGTGTGAAACGTCTTGGAAAAGTAGGCTCTCTTTTAACTCCGGATCTTTTGTTTCTTTGCCCATCTCCGCCCTCAGCTTATAAGCATCGGCTCCTCATATAACTATGGCAATGAGGACCAGGCTGAATTTCTGTGTGTAGTTTCCCGGGAACTCAACAACTCCACTAATGGCATCGTCATTGAGCCCACCGAGAAGGCCAAGGTAAGTCGACATTTCATACCGTTGTTCAGGCTGTCTGAACATCTCCTGCAAACTGCAGCGAAGGACCGTGTTTGTGTATTAAAACCCAGTTTATAAGCCACAGAAGCTACAGGATCCATGTGTAGGAACCAAAGCTGCACTTGAATCGTCCAAAACACTAAATCCTACTTCCTTTTGCCCATAAGTTTCCCATGACTCGATAGAAAATGTCACAAGGTCACTAAAAGATCTGAAGAGGTTTTAATGAGCTCAGAGAGAAGCTAACTGCTCTGACGCTAGACTCCTTAATAATGTGGCCAGATGTTGTTGATGTGAGTCTGCTGTGTTAAAACCACAGTGCCCCAAAGATGGGCAAAAAATGAGCGCATCGTGGATACGTCACCCCATGAAATGTTTCATATAAAAGAGGATCACTGGTGGAAAATTATTACTTCATTATCTAGTTTGTAATCTTAAAGAACAGGGAGTGAAACAGCTTATTAAGTGGAATTAAATGCATCCCACAATACGTTTGTGTTTTTAAATGGATGTTAACGACCGGCAGTGCAGTAAAGCTGTATGCAAGACACTTATTGCGAGATACAGCCTACACAGGTGTCTGGATGTGCTGTTGATTCTTTTCTCTCCGGCATGCTGCCAGCATCCAGCATGCCAACAACCTGGGCTCGGTCAACATCAGTCAGTCTCAGCACGGTGACCTGATGGTTTAGGGTCCATACTTGAATTTCAAATTTAATTCCGATACCCTGGAAAATGATCCATAATCGATGCTATTTTCAATACCAGGGCAAGATTCTTAGCCCATCCTGTGGTAACAGAACTAAGAACTAACAGAAATTATTTTTTTAAAAGCTGGCTACAGCAAAATAATAAGAAACATATTTTTATAATTATTATCTTGTTTACATACAACGTCCACACTGCTCCACCTTGGTCTGTAGCGCTTTACATCCACAGTTTTCTCTTCAGGCCTGAAACCATCCTTGACTAAACCCAGAGACAAAAGCTACTCACAGTGTTGTCTAAGAGATTAAAGTTATGTGCTGGGAACTTAATTTAAAACATCCATTCTAGACATGTTTCATGACATAAAACTTGAATAGTTTATTTTCACTTCCTGCTGAAGAGATGCGCCAGTATAACTTCTGCCTTTATTTTAGGTTCAGTGTGTAAAATCTCATATTTTTCGGTTTGGTCAACTGAATTGTGTAATCCTCCCCCTCTCAATTCAAGTGCTTAACCCGAACTACAGTAGATACAACATGGGTAATAAAGGTAGCACTGAAGCACCTTCCTTAGTGTTTGTAGAATTTAATTATACTTCCATTTTACTTGACTCAGTGAGGAACCTTCCTAATGAAAATATTTGACTGTTGGACCATAAACCAGTCCATGCTGGATAAGACTGGGTAGAGTGGACCTTACCATCTCATGTGGCTTCTGCTCATTTGGGTGTTTTTCACAAGCAGCCTCTCTGAAAGTCAAAATGCATCTGTATGAAAAATGCATTTTCTGAAGTTTGAGACCTTCACTTGGTGGAAAGTTCATGTTATACTTTTACCGTAGCTCAGTTTATTGTGCTGTATTAAATACTTAATGTGGAAGCTTACGCTACAACAAATACAGGAGCTAAATATAACCGTATGGATGAGCTCAGCTAGAAATAGTCTGTGTGCTGGCAGCCAGGATGCCACAAAAGTCAAGAACCTTCTGAACTTTACTGACCCGCTGCTGTTGTGTTCAAATCATTTGGTATCGCTTATCTTCGTAGTTCTTACCTGCTTAGCAGTGAGTTAACAAGATCTGCAAGATTATTTTCATGTATGCGATCATATCCATGAAATCAGTGCAAAGACTCGGATTTCATTCATTCCTCTTGTGTCTTTTTTATGGAACTGAGTTGGTTTACCAGATGTTATTTATCAATGAAAGCATGTTTTCTCAACTATAAAGCATTATCGACCAAGTATTCATTATAAACTTTTTTTTTATAACATGCACTCTTGCAAATGACCAGCAGGGGGCCACTCCTGTAGTCTACGTTGTATACAAGTCTTTCGGGAAACGATTTCTACTTCTCACTTGATCCACTAACTTTCCAAGTAATCTAATGCTGTTAATCATTAGTTTCATATTTTATTAAATCCAACATGCTGCTTTTTTTTGAAAATTAGTTCCTGTTTTAGACAAAAATAGGTGATAAAGCAGGGTATGATTCAGATTTACAAATCTGTATCAGGATACTGGCGTGCTGCATCCTCAGTTTCACATCCATAATTATGGTGTCCAGGCTTTTCCCTCAGCGAATAACAATTTAAATAATTTCCTATGCTCTGGCTGAAAAAGGGAAGCTAATGCTAAAAGGAAACTCAGATTGCTTTGACTAATTGTTTGTTTTGGACAGATTTTAGCTGGACGAAAACCCCAAGCAGTGATTCTGCATCTGCATTCATTATGAAAAAGTATGCAAGGAATGAAATTTTGTTACAACTGGCTCAACAGAGGATTAAATTATTTTAAAAATATGTTAAATATATCAGTAAAAATACTATAGTGTACTGGATAAAGCGATGGCATAGAGAGTGGAAAGTTGTAAAAAGTGGAGTACAGCACACTGACTGCTGAAATATTTACTGGATTACAACATTTCAGTCTGTCTGACCTTCTCTTTGTTCTCCTAAATGTCTCAGCAAATGTGACACATAGTTTCTGAAGGGAAAAAGCAAAGATTTGAGAATGCTGTCTGTGCAGGAACCTGAACACCACTGCTTTTTATATCAGTTTAATTAGTGTACTAAATTACTTTTATCCTGTGACTTCATCTGGAAAAAGGGTTTGCTAACACTGCCTTTTTATTGCAAAAAACCCTCAAAATTCAAAGTGTTGTTTTTTTTTCTTGCTTTTTCTTAAACGTCTTGTTTAAATGTTTGAAAGTGGTCTTTTTCCTGTCTGCCTTTCGCAGATCCTTCAGGAGCGAGGCTCGCGGATGTGAAGAGATCCTGAGCTTAACAACAGTTTATCAGCAACAACCACGTTGTTGTCGAACATTTTCTTCACTTTTCATAAACCCCCTTCCACCTTTTACTGTCATCATCATGATCATCCGCCCCTTCCCTTCTCCTCTGGTGTGCCTTTCCACAGCGGGTGCTGTTGGCATCCCCCACAATCCTTCAGTGCTGCAACGTGACCCTGGCTTGTCGTCTCGTCTCTCCTTCTTCACTTTGGAAGAGAGACGACAGGTTCAGGGCTTTTCCTCGTTGCAGCTTTTTGTTGGACAGTGTGACAGGAGCGCAGGCTACGACGCTGATATTAGCCTCTTGTTGTTCTCAGTTGGACGGACAGAGCTACCAGGAATCATCGTCTCCATCTCCACCTCGATTCTGGATCTCCATCATCGTTATCAGACGGGATATTTCCTCTTGTCTTACACATCTGGCTCTGTTGATTTAGCAGAAAACCTCCTCAGGACTCTCAAAGGACATAAAGGAATGAAAACACTCCACTTACTGACCGAGAGAGCATCGACTCCTCTGCAGGTGGAGCCCGAGACGGAGCAGTCGCAGGCGGATGATGCACGGACCGATCACTCATTATGAGCTAACCTGGAGCGGCATCTTTTCCGCGAACCAAGAAGTCTCCAGTGGCTCCTTTTGATCTGTAAGAAAAGAACATACATGACTAAAAAACGGACTTACCTACACTAGTGTACAATTTGTCAAGGCATGTGAGGAATCTATATAAATCTATATAGGCTACATGATGAAATTATATGAAAAATTGAATGCAAATGGTGTAATTATTGATTTCTGTATCATAGTTGTGATATATTTACATATTCTGGTGGTTGAGTCTATTTAAACAATGGAGAAAATATCAGTTTTCCCACCCGCTTACACGGGTGTGAATTTGTGTATGCAGTGCCTCTCTGCTTTCTGTTCATCCTGAAATATCACCAGTTTTTCAGCTGCACGTTTTCTGTAGTGTTCCTCAAAGAAAAAAGAAGATAACACCGGTAAGTTTTCTCTTAAATATCCAACTTTAAACTATTGCATATCTTAAAATTGTAATTAGGGATAAGGAAAACTACTGTCATTGTCATTTGTCCAAGTAAAGCGTGGCGGAGGTTGGACTGTGGCCAGACTGTATGCTGCCTCAAAACCCTGAAGCACCCCTCTCCTCTCGGGCCTCGTGCTATTCTCTTTGCCAATATTCACTCACTTTGCAGCTGCCTCTTGTTGCCACACCAAAATGACTGTGTTGTCTTACACTCTGCAGCACTTGTAGCAACCGTGGCGCAAGCTAAACTGTACCGCTCACCGCTTAAAGCCCTGAGATACCTGAGTTTTATACGCTGTGTAAACAACGCTGCCAGCCGGGAAGTGAGTTCAGTTTTCATGAGCTCGAGAGCGAAGCCTTAGTAGTTTGGCTAATGTGTGTTGTTCTTGTGCTTAACATTATGTTGATATGTTATTGTGCTGTTTTTGACACTTTCAAAAACACTGCAACAACATAGAAATCTTCTGTACACAGGCTAGGATGTGAGCTTGATTTATACTTCCACACTGTAACAGCTGCTTGGTGGTGAATAATAGAGTATATTACTTTTGCAAAGGTAATGTATATAATGGGGTTATGGGGGTTACAGGGCTAATCTAGGAGCAAGTAACCTGCCTGAATAATTCAGTGTCAGTTGCCTGCTTTTTTAAATTTTTTTAGTAAACTATTAGTGGCATAGAAAGAAACCACACTAGCTGTGAATGCTAACAACAGCTTAGCAAAATTGTAATGCAGAAGTATAAGTCAAGCCTTAATCTGTGCACATGTGCAAGTGAAGTGGCTCGTACTAAAGCGAAAACGGTGATTTGTCAGTTGACAGAAAATAAACGGGGATCTGTTTTGGCCATTTTAGCTCTAGAGTTTTATTCTTGAGCTCTGCATGAGTCACATTTCAGACTAATCCTTATTTGTCCTACATTTGGGCCTTGGTTCAGCTGCTTAGCTCATCATTGAACTGAAACAAGCTCCTTTAGCTCCCGGATCCTGGACTCTAGTCTGATTGGCTGCCTCTCGTAAAGACAAACTGAACTTTTGGCTCCCTGGGATTACTTGTACATAAGCTCACCTCATTTCATGAAACTTTAACTCAGCTTGATGATAGAACCCACCACTGTAGCACAGTAGGTCCCCTTTAATCTGACACAATTGGATATCAAGTCACTTATCAAGCAGAAAGGACAACTGATCTTTCAGTTTTCTGCTTTTTCTTTTTCATATTTATGTAAATTGAATATAGTTTGGTTTGGAACTGGATCGGTGCTTCCTTAATTTGTAGTTTATCACATAATGAAAATTTTAAAACATTTCTGGAGTCCAGATGGTTCAAAATGGGTTCATGGGCCTTATCAAAATTGGGTAATTAGTCACATTTATTTTAAAAAGAAAAATCCAATAAAATAGCAAAATACCTTTTTCTTCTTCTTGGTCACACATCTCACTTCTTACATTTTGGCTTCAGATGGCCCACCTCTCACCTTTGAGCCTATTTTCAATCCTTTTTACTCAAATAATCAGTAACTCTTCAGCCAGTATTCGTTCATTTGCTTATGAGCAAGAAAATCAATTTTACTAACAGGTGATGAAGAAATGCACCTAATTCTCACACTGAAAAGCGATATTCTATTTCTGCTCCATCAGTGACTCACATTTGTTAATTAATTATTATATTTATTTTATTCTGTCAGTGACTAATCATTTCACCATCTGGGGTAAATGCAGCTCGTTCATGTGAGCAACTTGATGCAAAGTTTGAGCCATATTTGCACATATCAGAAGGAAAACTGAGAATCATGTTGTTCACATTTTAATCAAAGCTGAGGAGCGCTCTGTCATTATCGCAGACACCTATTACTGGCATTGACCCCTTTGGTAATCCATCCTTTGTATAAAGAATTTATTTGATGCAATTATGTTGTACCAAGCATGGGGAAAAATAATTTATTGCATTGGGGAAAAATGGTACCTTAGACTTGCTAAAAATACTGCTAAAAATGCCCAAACATGTCATTCAGAAGCACTTTTGTTTCCTCCCTTGTGGTTTTCTTGGCCCATTCGAAACACCTTGGGTGTTGATTCCCTTCGTTTTTGTCCAGTGTTGTGCCTTTGACCTGTGTTGTGCACAGTTGTACTCCCCTCTTATCATAATGTGCCTCTCATACCTTAAAAAAGCCAGGAGGCACGTATCTGAGGTATCATGTATACTGTGGTCTTTTTATCCTGGTTTTTATTGTTGGTGTTTCCGTAAGAGGCGAACCAAACGGAAACACTACCCTTGGCGTTATTTTATTATATGTAAATTTTACAAATTGCTGCTTTCTTTGTGCCATTGCGTTCCAGCTCAATCCAACCACAATCTCTCACACTCCTGGAGGTTTTACATTTCTGTTGTGGTGGTGTGGACAACAGGAAGTCCAGTCCAAGCTGGGGTTTTTTTTTTTGCTCGTATCTTAGTAAAACTCCAAAAATGCACTTGGCAATTAATTTGATGTCAAACTTATTGTATTGTGGCAGCTTCTTTTCTCCTTGACCTGCATGCTGACGCTACCTACAATGGCCCCACTTTTAAGTGTGTGTAACCAATATTTAAAGCACTTAACGTACCCTTGTGAACCCCGGTTTGGTCTCACCATGGTTGCAGTTTGGTGGTTCCCAACTTGATTTTTTTTTTTTAAACTTTCTTTCAATGTTGCTTTTAGCCCAAGAGCTTAGGAGTATCAGTCAGTTTATAGACTGGAAATGTTGGTATTTAAAATGACAAAAGAGGTGATTACTTGGCAAACGTTCAAGTACAGAAGCCTGAAAAAAAAAAAGCATCATCGCAGATATTTTGCTAGTGTCGTTAGCTTCCCATTAATGCAACAAAATTTTATCTTTTAATTCATTAAATTTTTAATTCAGCTAAGTTAAAATATAAAAATATTGTAAATAGAACTAAATATATCACAGACTGGTAGGGTGGGAGTTTGGGCTAGCTACTGCTATAAAGGAAAAAGATACACGGGATTTATGAAACAAGAAGAAACATTTTTAATGATAAAACTGCCAATTGAAAGTTTGTTTAGTAGATATTAGCATTTTAAAGCCAAAGTTAGAATTCTAATTATTCAGTGTAATGGGTTTAACACATTTTTATTTAAAAAACACACAATCAGAAGATTCTTTTGGAAATATCTATTTTATTGTTAACTGCCACCTCTGTGTTAAGCTAATTAGCTTTTAAGTTCTTGTTAGCATCGAGCTAGCCACACTATCTTCATGTAGTAACTAGCAAAGCTTTAGATTAATTTTTTCCCCCTGAATTTAAATATAATTTAGTTGAAAATAAACAAAACCACCCGATCATCATGAAACAGAATGTTATACAATAATTTTTTTTTTAAATTGTCCTGCTCTACAATAATAATGTCAGCATTTTGTTTAGCCACTGTGAGAGTGTTAGCGTGTTGATGTTAACTCTTTGTTTTATTTCTTGAGGAATTAAATAAACTGTTCAGACAAGCTAAAATGTTTTTAAAAAGTAGAAATATGCAACCAAAAAAGTTGGGAACCTCTGACCGAGCTAAACTTGGCAGTGTGTTTATCTCAATATTTTCTTCAAACCATATTTTCTTTATACAGAGAAACAACTTTTGACCTATTTTTGTTTTTTGTTGGTTGTTTTTTTTTTTTTTTTGGGGGGGGGGGGGGGGGTTGTTTGTTTGTTTGTTTTTACGTTCACCTGTGCTAGTTACTCAACAAATAACATGCAATGTTAACAAATCTGCAAAAAATTACTCGTGAAAACATGAGAGCATGCATTGTACTAGAGATGTCGTGTACTGGATTTTGTCTGACCTCTGTGTTAGTGCAAACTAAATGTGATGCATGGTGGTGGGAAGCAGAGGGACGGCATGGCTCTGTGGTTTGTAGGTGTAGATTTTTTTTTAAGTGGAACAGTTGGTCTACAAGTCGATGTATTCGCCTACTCACAACTTCTGTTTCTTTGTCGTTTTTGTATCTTTGAAGAAGAAGAAGAAGAAGAAGAAGGTGTACTTTATTGTCACGTCAGTTGATCTTAAAAGTAGAAACAAGAGTTAGCTTTAATCACATATTACCCTACTGATGATATTGCAGACGTTTCCACCCCCATAACCTTGGTTTATATAGCATTTATGTGACCTGCAGGTCAACACAAAACTAAAAAATAAGAGGTTTTTTTTAATTGATTGATCATTTTGCCAGTTAACCTGTAAACACCTGCATGCGTTTGTGGACATGCACACTTGTACACTCATTTAGACGTATTGATAATGTCACCTATTAACTTACTTTGTGTTCATTTATCAACAGTATTGATGTCAAATGTGAATATTGTTAACTGAGACTGTGGAGAAACGTCTGGAAGCCGACAAAACATTTTGTCTGATTGTTTGTTTCACTTTTATTTATTTCATATTTTCTGAATTTTGTCTACCATGTAACAATTTTAACAAAAACCCAGTCTGGTTTTTATTCATAAAATGTGTCTGTGTTTTAAATTGTGGCTCACTGACTATTTGTTGGTTCCTTTGAGTGTGGAATAAAAAAAATAAACAAAGTGAAGTTCATAACAAAATATACGTTTTGGAAATGTCTGTTTGCAGCCAAATTTGAATTCTAGAGACAAAGCTTTAAGACCTACCACAATATTAAAACCATCTGACTAGCATTATCTAGGTCTTTGTGCCTTTAGAAACACTTTAATCAGTCTGGGTATGGACGTGGAACCACGATCAGTGGTCCCGTGGTGGTGAGTTTCCATCACACTCTAACAACAGTCCTTTGATATGTGGAGTCTGCATGTTGAAGCCTCTGGCTTAGATTTTCACTCATCACTGCCATATATAGCACAAAAGATGAATGAAGCCAATACAGAAGTGCCTTAAACCTGCATTCTATTTAATGACCAGCAGGGACCCTTATAGTTGCAGGAAAACTGCCCTCAGCTCCCTCTCTGTTACCTCAGTAAATACCCTTGTAATGATTTCCATGTGTTAGTCTCCAGTTTCAGGTCATATTGAGCTTCTCATTAGCAAATTATGGTCATCACAGGTGTGAAAAAGTAGGATTGTCCAGTCTAACAACTAGCCAATCAAGTTGTTAGTCAATGAGCTTGTGGTTTCACAGCCTTCCAAAAGCTCAAGATGTCAGGATCAAAAACGTTACCTTAAGACTTCACAACAGGACTTCACTCACCTATGGGTGGTATCATTGTGGTGGCATCTGAGCCTAGGAGGTTTGGTTATCAAGCTCCATCCATAAACTATAAGTGGATATGATAACTGCTAATTCGTGCTGTAATACTGGACGTACTTCTTAGATGCTATGTACCACACAGGAAGCCATTATATATTTATCAAAAGCAGCGCCAATACTGTGGTGAGATTCAATTCAGTGACTCCATTTAGCACTGCTTTAACCCTTGCAATGAAAGCAGGTATTCCCCCTAACATTAAACCTTAACAGCAAACAAACGGGTGTTCAAAGATCACCCACTTGAGAGCTGGTGTGAGTAGTTGTTTGGTGAGTGAAGCCACAACCTCAACTAGAAGTGTGAACACTTTGGTCTGCAACAATGTTTAGGTGGGTAGCAAAGTTGGAATGCCAGAACTCAAGGTTGTATCAGCTCATTGCTACATTGTATAGCAAACCAGGGGCAGATCTAGATACATTTTCTAGGGTGGCATTGAAATCAGATGGGGTTGATTTTATGTACTGTATAGCCTATACGATGAAGATTCCTTCACAACCACCAAAAAAGCCCCAGCTCAAGCTGCAGCTCTTGCCTCTCCTGAATATGCTGAATTATTTTAGTGGTGTTATGAAGTCTGTCC